GGGGAAAAAAAAAAAAAGAAAGAAAGAAAAAAGAAAAAGAAAGCAACTGGTACAGCTAGTTAGAGCCAGATCAAGTGGCCAGGGCTCTAACTAGCTGTGAAGTGTGACTAGTATTCCTCCTGCACCATGTGCCCTCCCTATATGTGGTAGCTGTGCCATGGTAGAAGTGTGCTAGACCAAGAAGGATGCATAACTTCTACCTCCTACCTCAGAAATGCACCTAGATGTTCCAAAGAATCTCCTCCAAGGTGATTCTGCAGATCTCTGGGCCTGTTTAGTCTCTGGGAGGAGCTGGGGTGTCCGAATGCTATACATAACCAGAGAGCACCATTAACTGTGCCTGAGACAGTCCATTAGCACCCTCAAAAAGAGCAGCTGCACATCTAGGACACACACTCTCAGAGACAGAATTTCTATACTCTTTACAGCCAGTGACGCAATTATCCTAATTCCAGAGTAGGTCAATTTTACCCAAAGAGAAAAACAAATGGGAAATTAGTGACGAACCAGTATCTTGGAGAATAGATGAGGAGAAAACACAAGTTTTCCTCATTTCCTTAAGAAAATTCTCTGACTCCCAGAAAGATGCCTTTAGTAAAGAAACAATGCATATTTTTGTTTTGTTTTCCCCAGTTGAAAAGATGAAAGAAAAGATGTTATGTTGGATAAATATGTGTGTGTTTGTGTGTGTGTATGAATATATGGGCTCTGGGTTCAGAGACACCTAGCTTTAAATTATGACTATTACTTTAAAAATGGTGACCTTGAGTAGATAATTTAGTCTTTCTAATCTATAAACTGTGAGCCTTAATTGTACTGACCTCAACTGGCTCATCAAGGATTTCTGGATGCCTGGTGCATAGCAGATACTCACTGAGTGAGTCCGTATTCTCACCACCTAACCTCTCTGCAGAGAGGTAAGAGTAGAGCTCACTGTTAGTGCTTTTGCATATGTGTGGAATCTACTATGAAAGGAAAAGAAAAACTCAGGACCCCAATTCACCATGCTATTTTTTAGAATAAAAATAAGCCAGGCTGGGGTGCTGGCTCACGCCTGTAATCCCAGCACTTTGGGAGACCGAGGCGGGCAGATCACAAGGTCAGGAGATCGAGACCACCCTGTCCAACATGGTGAACTTCGTTTCTACTAAAATATTTTAAAAATTAGCCGGGTGTGGTGCTGCGTGCCTGTAGTCCCAGCTACTCAAGAGGCTGAGGCAGGGGAATCGCTGGAACCTGGGAGGTGGAGGTTGCAATGAGCCGAGATCACCCCACTGCACTTCATCCTGGCGACAGAGCGAGATTCTGTCTCGAAAAAAGGAATAAAGAACCCAAAAACTTGGTCATGCAAGAAACTGCCTTTCCTTTTGTGCCTACACAGACAGCTACAGATAAAAGGTTAAATAGCTCCAGAGGTAGCTACTCTATGTTCACCCTATCTTATGTAAAGTGCTGATTTACTGAGCGCAACATGAATACATAACTGGCACTTCCCCTGCCTGCTCTCTTGCTCTTACAACATGTGGACTGTGACACTCTCCTTCTTTCTTCTCCAGCCCACTTATCCTTTTTAAATGTCGAGGCCCTCAAATTCATCTTTGGAGAAAGAAACGGATCATAGACTCTTCCTGTGATTCCGTATTATTTTCTTCTGGGCATGCCCTTAACCTGGGCAAAATAAACTTCTCAGTTAATTGAGGCCTGTGTCAGATACTTTTTGGTTTATTACTGTAGTGTAGAACTACCAACAGTGCGTGCTGATACTGCAGAGGGCTTGCATGTGCCAGGTGTTATTAGCTCATCTAATCCACATAACTGCAGGAAACGGTGCATTATGACTTCATTTTGCACGAGGAGATTATGGCACCTAGAGTTCCTGTAACTTGCCTGAGGTCACACAGATACTAAATACCATACCCAGGATTCCGGAGACCAGAGAGCATGTGCTTAACCTCTCCATCACGCTGCCTCTTTGGTGTTAGGACAGCTCTCATGAGGATATTGTGAGGATCAGGAAACACAGTGTCTGTGAAACACACTAGAGCTGAGCTCACACAGTACGCGTCACAGTAGATGGTGTCCAATTGCCATTGGAATGTCCTAAACCAAATGAATTTTACCCAAGTGACCTTTAAAAAAGAAGCCACATTGGCTCCTTCATTTGGTTGTGAGTCCTCTTAGAAGGTGTCCTAACCACCATCTCAGGGAAATAATTAGAAATGAGGTGTTGGACCATTCTTACAACCAACACAGAATTCCATAGCCCAGTTGCCATGCTGTGTCTTACCTTGGATGTTCAATTCAATGTCACCCAATTAAAATACACATGGACAAAAGTCAACTTTTCATTTTTAAAAAATTTATTTCGCCTATTATGAAAAACACACCACATAATTTAACTAGCAAAGAAGGCTGCTTCAGGGCATGTAAAATGAAAGGCTTCCAGGCAGTTTTCTGACTAAAGAACACTAAGGGAGGAACGAGGCTAGAAGCCGCAGGCTGTCTACACTATGGCAGTGGCTATTTGGGTTGGCTGGAGGAGCTACGGAGAATTTGGAGAGAGTGGTGCTAGAGACTGCCATGGCTGTTCCTCATTGTTATTACAGAGTGAGGTTTTCTGTGTGCCCGCTGGTTTGAAAACAATTATATAATAATGACAGAATAGCACACACATGAGAACTGAAATAGCCCTGACCCAGGAAAAAAGCCCAGCTAGATCCTCAGCAGACGCTTCTAAAGACAATAAATGATGAAGAAAAGATGGCCTCCTTATGCCACCGTCTCTTACGATCTCTCCCCATTGCAGCAGGCAGCCGTTCCTCTAAGCAGACAGAAGGTGATGATGGCAAAATAGACCACACTCTTGAGGAGCAGGAGGAGGTACGTGTAATATGCAGCGGTGTTTGTGAGCTGCAGCAGCAGTGCATCTAAGAGAAATTTCACATGTTCTTTTTTCAGACTGAGATATATTATTGGGAGACGGGTTCACAAATACTTACTTCTCATGATCTACATTGCAGTGATATTCCACCACCACCAAAACCTAAAAGTAAACATCTACTACTACCACCACCACCAAGAGCAAGATAAGTCAGAATTCAGCTTTCAAGTTGATTAACAACCTCTGCTAAATTCAGTTGGAACATTCCAAACTATTAAAAAGCAAGGTTGCATTGTAGAAAATCAAAGAAAGTGGTTAATCCGGATTTGCCGATGTGTTAGGTAGTTGTGGCACACTGACCTGTCTCTCCTACATGTCTCTAGTTATGGCTATGCTATTATTGGGTGGTATCATTTAATATCATTTGAGCTTTTGCAAGATATATGTGATGTCAAGGCATAAGTAAAGACAATGATGGTGGACCACCGTGGCTAGTCAATTAGCTACAAGGCTGAGTCTCTTCCTGTGGAAATTTCCACGTTACACGTTTTGTCTTCCTAAAGTCAGAAATCTAGAAACATCACTCCTTGGTGTGGAAAAGGATCTCAAGAAGTGATGTGTTTATAACTCCCTGCCCTTGGTTAAGTGAGGTGTTACCGCCCCTCCTTGCCTGGTGCAGCAGCTGAAGTCCAGAGCCCCCTTGGTATTGGAAATAGAGGAAAGTTGAGCAGGGCGAGAGCCCGTGCTTCTAGTCACATTCTTTGTGCGAATGTAGAGGGAAAAGGCCAGAAACCAGTACTGATTCTGTGTCTGCTAAATGAGATACGCTATGCCAGACATCTCACATGCATGCCCTTATCTCTTCAATAACCGTGAATCTGGTGTACTTGTTCTTGGTTGGCTGATGAGAAAAACGTTACTCACAAAATACAAGTCATCTACATCTAATCATTAAAAGAGCTGGAGTTAAAGTCCAGTCTGCAAAGCCTAGGAACCCAGCCATCCCCACATTATGTCCATTTTGTCTCAGGTCCCTGGCTCTGGGATTTCTTGCTATCTGACTCTATTACAGAAAAAAAAAAATACAGAACTTAGTAAGTGCATGGACTCTTTACTTGATGGCCTGATTTGAAATCCCAGAACTAGCTGTGTGACGTGTATAAAGGATTTGTATAATTATTTGCTTTAAAGGGACTGTAAAATGGGAGAAGAAAATGTTGTACCATTTTATAGCAGTATTAAGAGGATTAAACAAGAAAGTACAGGACATAGCCCAAGCCCGTCTGTGTAAAAAGCACTCGATAAACACTAGGTCGTGCTATTAGCTAGTAGCAAGTGCAAAGACTAAAACAAAACAACTCTAGAAGCAACATGGTATCATGTTTCTTCAGTCATGAAAACAAAAGACACAGGAATGAAGTCTCTGTTTTGAAATAATTAAAAGCATATCACTGTATCCTCTAATTTACAGTCATCTCATACCCAAAGCAGTAGTCTGCTTTGTTAATACAACTCCCAGAAAATGAGGGACTAATGTAAAATATCACTAAGTTCATTCTGCAACATCCAACCTAGAAAAATCCACTTCCTGATTTTTCAAGCCAGAGAAGTTGAAAAGTTAAAATGATCAGGATGAAATAAAAAACACAAAAACTTACCACTTGTATCTTTCGAACAACTGTCTTTGGGATCCATTGAGATGACATCTAGAAGAATGAGAGCAAGTGCTAGTCAATTGTTCATGCTCATTATTTGCCAAGGTGTGTGTGTGTGTGTGTGTGTGTGTGTGTGTGTGTGTGTTGTGTAATTAAATGAATATTTATAAAAATCTGTCAACAGAGAGGCAGAAGGACAGTTATTAAAAATATGAATCCAAACTTCCAGAAATAATTGGTCTGATTCTATGTAATTAGGCAGATTTAATTCATATATTGCGTTTTGTACATAAAAATGTTAAAGTTCATGAAGAATACATATTTTTTCTTCTTTTATCAGAACTGGAGTGTAGTATCCAAGAACATTTGGTTTTCCTTCTATATTCATAGCTCCTAACATAGTGCCTGCCACAAAGTATGTTTCTGATAAATGCTTGTTCAATGGAAAAACAAACAGAGCAAGTGGCTGCTTTACAGTCTTCAGTGCACACTGTGTCATGAAATCAGCAAAAAGAATAATTTGGGGATTTTTTTTGAGGGAGAGTCTCACTGTCACCCAGACTGAAGTGGAGTACAGCAGTGTCATCAAAGCTTATTGGAGCCTCAACCTCCCCAGGCTCAGGTGATCCTCCCATCAGCCTCCCGAGTAGCTGGGACTACAGGCACACACCACCACGCCCAGCTAATCTTTTGTATATTTTGTAGAGACAGGGTTTCACCATCTTGTCCAGCTGATCTCAAAAATCCTGGGCTCAAACAATCTTCCTGCTTTGTTCTCCCAAAATGCTGGGATTACAGGGATGAGTCACCACACCTGGCAAAGAATCCTTTCAGTTCTAGAATCCGCAACAGAATCTTACATGTTTGAAGGAGTCTGGCTTAGGAAAATTCTCATCTAACCAGAAAAAAAGCAGTCATACCTTTCCAAATCATGCATATCCCCGAGGTCCCCAGTTCGAACACATGATTTTCTGGAGGTATAGTGTTTCTGGACATAACAATATTAATAAAAGCTAATATCTACTGAGTGCTCATTATTGTACCAGGCGCTATGTTAAATGCTTCCCATGCATTTTTTTGTTTGTTTGTTTAATTCCCCAATAACAGTTAAGTGAGTTGTGTTATGAATGGCCCCATGTTCTGAATGAGGAAATAATGTTTAAAAAGTGCAGACAAGGCCGGGCGCGGTGGCTCACTTTGGGAGGCCGAGGTGGGCAGATCACGAGGTCAGGAGATTGAGGTCATCCTGGCTAACATGGCGAAACGCTGTCTCTGCTAAAAATACAAAAAATTAACCGTGCGTGGTGGCGCGCGCCAGTAGTCCCAGCTACTTGGGAGACTGAGGCAGGAGAATTGCTTGAACCCGAGAGGTAGAGGCTGCAGTGAGGCGAGATTGCACCACGGCACTCCAGCATGGGCAACAGAGATTCTGTCTTAAAAAAAAAAAAAAAGTTCAGGCAACTTGCCGAGAATCCTACTAGTGAATAGCAGAGCCGGTATTCAGAGAGTAGTTGTAGGGCAATAAAAGAAATTGCACATGTCTTCCGGTCTTTCTGGGCTTGGCCGCAGAAGCAAGATGACGAAGGGAGCGTCACCGCTTGGGAAGCATCGCAATAAGACGCTCGCGTTGCGCTGCTGCTGTGGCTCTAAGGCCTACCACCTTCAGAAGTCCACCTGTGGCAAATGTGGCTGCCCTGCCAAGCGCAAGAGAAAGTATAACGGGAGTGCCAAGGCTAAAAGACGAAATACCACCGGGACTGGTCGAATGAGGCACCTAAAATTGTATGCCGCAGATTCAGGCATGGATTCCGTGAGGGAACAACACCTAAACCCAAGAGGGCAGCTGTTGCAGCATCCAGTTCATCTTAAGAATTTCAGCGATTAGTCACACAATAAATGTTCTGGTTTTAAACATAAAAATAAAGAAATTGGACATGTGAAAAGTACTTTGTAGAAATAATCCACAGAAATAGATATAAAGTAATTTACAAAGAGACAATATAATTTCACCATTGTGTACTCTAAGAAAATCTCTTTCAGTATGTTAGTTATTCTCAGCGAATGGTCTTTTTTATTACAGGAGCTCAGCATCTTAGTGTAATTATTTTTGACTCTAGAAAGACAGGTCAAGGTCAAGCCACATTGATAGTTCTCTGAATAAAACCTGAGGTGAGAGCAGAATTTATCTGTGATGTTAAAAAAAAAAAAAAAAAAAAAAAAAAAAAAAAAAAGAAATAAAATAAAAAAAAAAAAAAAAAAAAAAAAAGGAAGCAACAAACATGGATGCAAAGACAACATATTTTAAAACAGATAGAAGAAAAGAGAGTCATATTGGTGTTTTGGTTTATTATTTTTCTAGTAGATGTATTCCTGTCTATACGGATATGATTCTGTTCAGTGAGATCTTTATTTCGTGTATTCTATGAAATGGACTTGAGGTATAGGTTCTGGGTAAGTCTCACAGATGAAAATGTTAGTTTCCATGTCTCATGTCCAAATATCTTTAAGGTCTAACTTTAAAGGGTTTTCAATGTCTTTTTATTTTCCTTATGGTGGCTTTATTTATTAAAAGGTAAATGGAAATGACTATAATATACTATTTCTATGCATTGATTGAGGCAAAAAATAAAGTAACAATTCCTCATAATAAAATCTGTAAGTGTATCCTGAGTTCCCTCTCTCACAATCATGGTTGGTTGCCAATGTGGACCGGATTTCATTTTATCTCCTTTTTATTACAGGAGCTCAGCATCTTAGTGCAATTATTTCTGGGACTAGAAAGGTCAAGGTCAAGTCACATTGAAGTGCTTCAAAAACACTTCATTATTACATAATATGATCACTTCCTTGTTATATTTTTAGCTTTTATCAGAAAAACAAACTTCCAATAAAGAGCACTAGAAATCTACTGGTAGAATGACATTAAGAGAAGAGTCGTTCTTAACTTAGTTGTCTTGAGAAACACATGAAAGACATTTTACTTTCAGGCTGAGAGCGGTGGCTCACACCTGTAATCCCAGCACTTTGGGAAGACGAGGCAGATGGATCACAAGTTCAGGAGTTCGAGACCAGCCTGGCCAACATGCTGAAACTCCATCTCTACTAAAAATACAAAAATTAGCCAAGTATGGTGGCAGGTGCCTGTAATACCAACTACTCAGGGGGCTGAGGTAGGAGAATCACTTGCACCAGGGAGGTGGAAGTTACAGTGAGCTGAGATCCCACCACAGCACTCCAGCCTGGGCGATGAGAGTGAAACTCCGTCTCAAAAAAAAAAAAAAATTTTTTTACTTTTAGAATTTAGTGTAAAGTAAAACACATTATAAAACTGTAACTTCTTTCCCATATGATATTCACTGCACTGCAACTTACTATACTTTTTATTTTGCACTGATCACTAGAAAAATCAGAACCTGCCAGGGCGCAATGCCTCACACCTGTTATCTCAGCATTTTGGGAGGCTGAGGTGGGCAGATCAATTGAGGTCAGGAGTTTGAGACCAGCCTGACCAATATGGAGAAATCTCGTCTCTACTAAAAATACAAAATTAGCTGGGCGTGGTGGCATGTGTCTATAATCCCAGCTACTTGAGAGGCTGAGGCAGGAGAATCACTTGAACCTGGAAGGTGGAGGCTGTGGTGAGCTGAAATCGCACCACTGCACTCCAGCCCAGGCAACAGTGCAAGACTCGGTCTCAGAAAAAGAAAAAGAAAGAAAACGAAAAGAGAAGAAAAATCAGAACTTACTAAGTGGACATTTAAGCACAGGGGTAAGACTAACCTCAAGCCTTGCACATTTGTCTCCCCTTTGTGCCTCAGCAAAGGAAATAGAAAATTGGGACTGTTTTTTAACCCTACTTCAGTTAGTTTTAGGAAAGGCTGTGCCTAATACACTAAATACATAAATGAACACATCCATGCTAGCGTTTTGAAAGCAAGCCATTTTCCCATTTTCCCTGCCATTGTTTTCTTTGCTCGTCATCATAGCCCCAGGAGCTAGTCAGGGTAACTCTTGAAATCACATATGATCACTGCAGAAACTCAGGATCCGAGAAGCTAAAGACTTGCCCTAGAAATCTGGAATGGTACATGGCAAAGGTCTGCAAACATTTTGTTAAGGCTCATTCCCTGCTAGCTAAAAAGGACATGTTAACCACAGGGAAAAGCACAAAATGGCCACTCTGGAGCTGCTGGACTGTTACATTCACACTCAGAATTTTGACACATAGTGAGGGCTTGGACCACTGGGCCAGGACACGTTCAGCCCTCTGCCTGATTGTCTGGAGATCTACACAATCTGCATCAAAGGCACTGTTTGGGACCTCGTGCATGAATCGTGGGTGACCCTGAGTGATCAGGAAAAAAGTACATTCTCTGCACTGTCATGCATCGTCCTTGGGACAGTAACTCATCCTACTCTGTTCATCCACATTTCCACCGCCTGAGCCTGGCAAGTCATCATAGTACAATTAATGTTTGTTAAGCTGCACTCACCAATGGCAGAAAATGCATTTATTATGGAAAATGGAAGAACGTTTGTACACGTAAGCCTTACCAACCTTTAATTATGAAATGTTACCATATGGTAATATATAAAATAAAAATCCGAAAAACCCAAGGCCTTCATAAAACTGCAGGGGCCAAGACTATTATCTGTTGTGTAGAGCCACATTTTGGCTTCTTCAGATAAATGTCATTTTGTCAACAACGAACCCATCGTTTCTAAGTTAAACTTCGTGGGTAGCAAGAGTGAGGTGAGTGGCTCTTCCTGCTTGGGTAGAACATTCCTGAAAGACGTATACTTGTTAGTATTTTCCAATCAAGTGAAGTCATCAAAAGAAGGGAGACCTCTTTTTGAGCATTTACCATGTGCTAGGTTGCTAGATGCTTCCATGTATGTTCTTTCCTTTAATCCAACTAACAACGCTAAAAAACAGCATTTCACTTTCTTATTTTGGATAATGGAGCTGAGTCTGAGAAAGCTTCAGTAATTTTTTCCATTTTGTTTTCTCCAAAACCTATACCATTTTAATTCTGTAGAAAAATAGCAGGGTGTTTATGCTACCATTAAGTATAACAACATTTAAGAAAGATTTATGTTTGTTTTTCATTAATACTGAAAGAAAAGAAGTGCAGTATTCCCTTTCAAAGAAGTGTTCTGAGAGATGATATGTATAGACACGTACCTGTCTTTATTGGAGGAAAGATAATTTCTTGATCAACTCCTTTTTTGTTATTCTCATGTCTGACGATACATCTGTGTTCTTTATGCAGTGACTTTTCTGGCACCGTTAACCAGCTAAATTTCATGTATGTGTCATTAGTCTTCATGGTGTTTCCCTCCTGGGATTCCAGAATCGTGTTGCTATTCTTTTCTTGCCAATGTATATTAATAACATCCGGGAAAAATTTCTCAAGAAGACAAAGATATGTTCCAGCCTTGTGGAGTTTTGTTTCAGCAATTGAAGGAAGAAAAACAGTGGGCTTGGGGGAAATGTCTGCACCAATATATCCATCTATGGGGAGAAATGGAATATGAATTTGAAAGAATTATTAGAGAAACACACACATTGCATGTTTTGGAATGGTCTAGTACATAACAACAAAAAGAGAAGTTGCTAGTGAGCTGGTGTCCACCATGGCCTTTCACTCAGGATAGGTTGCACAGTACTTATTATTGTGCTTATTTTACAGATGTTGAAAAGAGGATTAAGAAATTAAATAACTTGCCAAAAGTCACAGCTCTCAACTGTCAGTTGCTGGATGAAAACCTGGCCTTTGTTTATTTTGCCCATGCTGTGATGGAGTATGATTTTTAACTGCCTCCTACCAAGGCTTCCAACGTTCATGAGCATATTCATTTTGTTTTTTAATCTCTTATTTCATCACAGTGAAGCATGTTTTCAAAGTGGATGGCAGGGGAAAGGGGAAGAAGATCAGATAACTTTAAAGATCTCTCTACAGATGAGACTCTTTGGTCCTTTTCCCACTTCCCTTTCCCATCCTTTATAACTTATATTCTTTGGCCAAATAACATACATTCTTATGTTCCACAATTTTGCATACTCCCACTCTTCATTTACCTATTCTGTGATATGCCATATTTACTTTATTAATTTTTTTTTTTTTTAGACTGGGGCTTTCTCTGTTGCCCAGGCCGGAATGCAGTGGCACAATCATGGCTCACTCCAGCCTCAACTTTCCAGGCTCAAGTGATCCTCCCACCTCAGCCTCCCAAGTAGCTGGGACTACAGGCATGCACCACCATGCCTGGCTAATATTTGTTTGTCGCAGAGACATGTTTCACCATGTTAACCAGGCTAGTCTGAAACTCCTGAGCTCCAGTGATCTGCCTGCCTCAGCCTCCCAAAGTGTTGGAATTATAGGTGTGAGCCACCATGCCTAGCCATTTTTTTTTTTCACTTTTATTGTTAACAGTATATACACAGTCACTTGCTTTAGTGGGAATCTACTTCCACATATACATACTGTCTATCAAGTTGACTGGGTAGTTTCAATTAGTATACCATGCGCAGTCCTTCCGGTTAATATCTAACTTTGTATAATATCTCAATTTCACATCCGCACCCTCCAGGTTTTTGGGTGAGCCAGTATTTACAGTTGTACCTCCAAATTATTCACCATGTCTTGAATTTAGAAGCAAAATGGCAACATTTGCAAAACTCCTATTAAAATTTTTATTGATTTTCAGAAATACTCTTGTATTAATCTTATCCAGTAATGCACTTACCAAAATTTTGTTTTGCTTTAGAAAATATTAACCAAAAGCACATTTTATATTGGAATTTCATTTGAAGTTTAAGCATAACTAAGAATGCACCAAGGGTATGTTTTTTAGACTGGTTTTTAATAAATTTGCCCTATTAATGAGAAGATCTGTATAAATCAGCATATCTATATTTTGACTTTTGATGTCTCTCCCAGAATTTGTATCTGTCCTATATGTGACATAACTGTTTTAAAGCTCCATTATTGTCTTTGTCTTAGCCTGCTGAATAAAATTTGTATGTAATTGCTGTATTAAAAGTCATGATTCCAGAGTTTCTTATAGGCATAGGGTCAAGATACATAATGAAGCATTATACATTTACAAGACATATCACTGGAATCTGGAATGTTAATGGGTTATACATTTATTTTTAATCAAATAACAAATTGTAAATGTTGCATTTCTTTCTAATTTGATTTCCAATTGAAACTCAAATGCTTTGGCTGGTCTGAAGTGAGTTTGATAATTGAACAATTTCTTAAAAAAGTAAGAATTAAATTTCTCATTTGAGAATAAAAGAAAAAAATTCTTGATGATTTACATTTATGTAGCAAAGCTTCTGATTTTTACACAAAATTAGTAAACATATACAGTAAGATTAATTTTTTAGCATGCTATAAATTTAATTAGGCATAATGCGCTTATTTTAATTTCATATACTTTGCTTTTAGTGCAAATAGTATTTTGCTTGTTACAGTTGTAAGACAGTGTATATTTCTCCACTATGTAGTTTGTTTCTACTTTTAAAAGCATGTTATAAAATATAAGATTAATTTTTCAATTGTACATTATATGTATATAATTTTGGTCTCTAATCAATATATTTTCAAATCTAATTTTCATCTTGGGAACTGGTGTCTCGTCTTGGAAATACTTCCTATTCATCGTACTAAGGAAATTAAAAATCAAATGATAAACTTGGACATATTCTGTATGGTGCCACAGCATTCATTGCCTCTTGTCCCTTTTCTTTAGCTAGATTCTTTCGGTTTCATTCTTTTCAGGACAAAATGAATCTGGAATTCCCATAACTTTCTCAATGTAACAGTTAACTAATCATTAAATAGCATACTTGATGATACATGGTAAGGGCCGATATTCTGGATCATCTTATCACATGATTTTTTAAAATGTACATCTTAAGAGTGTTTTTATGGTCAAAATTTTTTATAATGCATAGAATGGCAACCATTCTACTTACTTCAATGATAAATAGAATTTATATATTTTATTTATTTAAAATAATAAACCTGCTGGATTCATTTGTGTACATTTGTTTGCATAATCAAATAGTATATTTGAGTTAAATTGCCTGTTGTTTGTTGCTTATTAAAATGCAGCAGTAAACTCTATGTAAATTTACCAAATATCAACTATATTTTCTATAGACAGTATGATATATTAAATTTACATATGAATACTTATTTAAGTGTTCTCTTTTGCTTGTTTCATTAGATAAATCGTTATAGCTATTTTATATTTAAATATGTATTTCAGATTTATGTTTCCGACTGTATTTAATTGATTTGACATCTTGACCATTTTTTGTAAGATTTTTAACCTTTTTTTTTCTGAAATGTATGAACAGCACCCTAAACTAATTGGCAATGAATCTTAGAACAAATATGTTGGTGTTAAAAATTATATCAATTAAGATAAAGGATTATGTAAAGCACATAGGACTACAAAAATAAAAAATAAACATCTTAATATAATTTTTTGCCAAGTGATTAAAAAGTCTGCTAACAAGAAATGAATTGATATTTCTAAGTTCAATTTGTGTGTGTGTGTGAGTGGATTTTAAGATAAGCTTCCGTTTGAGCAGCTAGACGTACAGCTGAATTCTCTGGAGAATCGCTGTTCTGTAAATTCCATGGGCTGAAAGCAACTCTGCATAGTAGATCCCATTCTCTCTTTACATGCGAATCCAGAGAATATTTGTTGGGCACCTATTTTGTGTTGGACAGTGTGCCAAGTACTTAATTCACACTATCTTCTTCAATTTTCATACAACCTTGCTGAATGTATACTGCTATCCCATTTTATGGATTAGAAAGCTGAGGACAGAGAATAATCACCCAAGTTTGCTAAGCAGTAAGTGGTGGAGCTGGAGTTCCAGGTCGATCTGACTCCAAAACCCGGGTTCTTTCACAACATGCTGGACCATCAGAGGTGAACATGCAACCACTTGATAGAGTCTATCACAAACTTACCTGTCATAATACATTTTGCTCAGGGACAAATATTTTAATAACATTTCATACATCATCTGTGAGTACTTTATAGAAGTCCATATATGCACAAAGCCAAATCCTATTATGATATTTGTACAATATAATCTAGGTTCTCTTTTAGTATAAGCATTTGTTTTAAAGTCTCTCCTAAGATTTCTACATCAAATCCCCATCAAATTCCTCTTTTTTTCTAAACATTATTACATTGTTCCAATTTAATCATTTCTTGCCTTCCCTCTATTACCTTGGAAATACTGTATTCTTCTGATACCTACCTGTGACGACAAGTGTTGTTCCACTACCAAAGAGTTTCTTAATAATCCCACAGTGATTCAATACATATGAAAAACTTTAAGTCAGTTTCCCAGAGTTCTTCAAATTCTCGTCGTCTGGGATTCTCAAAACACCAGGGTTCCAGTCGTTGTTCATTTTGCTCATAAAAGTTATGTTGCTCAACAAATCAGATAGCTGAAAGCTTTTGGTGTTTTATCTATCTAAAAACAGTGATGCTTGTGGAAATCAGTTCAACATCCCTACCGGCACTGAAGTGAGACCAAAATGAAAGAAGCTATAAACAAGCAACTTGATCAAAATGTTGCAGGTCCCGCTGCAGTGGCTTGTGCCTGTAATCCCAGCACTTTGGGAGGCTGAGGTGGGAGGATTGCTTAAGCTCAGAACTTCGAGGCCAGTCTGGACAACATAGTACATAGTGAGACCCCATCTTTACTAAAAATTTTTTTAAAAATTAGCTGAACATGATGTGCATGCCTGTAGTCCCAGCTACTTAAGAGGCTGAGGCAGGAGGGTCGCTTGATTCTAACAGTTTGAGGCTGCAGTGAGCCTTGATTGCACCACTGTACTCCCACCTGGGCAACAGAGGAAGACCCTGTCTCAAAAAATAAAAAATGCTATGGAAATACAAGAGGTTGTGGTAATGATATCATCATCATTGTTACGATTAGCAATCTGTTTGCTATTATTGTGTGCCTTGACATGGCATTTTAATCCTTTACTAAAAATAATTCAGCATTTTGGAGTGGCAGTTAAATCCATAGCAATTAAGCAGGAAGAATCGTTTCTCAGTTCCTCCATTTGCATTCCACTTCGCTCTGACATGCCTAGGATTCTCAAAGCCACCATCCCCAACATCACAGGAAACATGCTTTCCACACGCCCAATTTTTAATAGGCTATCATTTGCCTTATCTGCTGTGTTAAGAAAATCAAAGGAAACACTGACTAAAGTCTAATATATGCAGTCAGTGTATGGAAATTCTTCACTTGTGTTTTCCAAAACAAATGGCTCTTTTTCCTAATCAGCAGCACAACATATTTGCATTCCAAGTTTTATCAGAAATTTCAGCCTCAGACTGACTTCTGAATTCATGCCAAAGTCCAACTTGAAACTCCTGGTTTGGCCCTTCAAGGCAGAATGGCTAGAGAAATGGTGGGAGGCATGGTCCTCAAATCCATCTTTCTGTTGCCACTTTAAATCACTGCACGCTATCTGCATGATCATGTCTGCTGAGCATCACCATCTGTTCCTTTCATTAAATGTCAGGATTCCCACAGAAGCAATGCAGTAATATACAATGGGTTTCCTTCATGGCCATTCCTTTCATTTTCCAAAATGGAAGTTGAAGGCAAAGCACACTCTTCCATTTCCTTCTAAAGGACTCAAGTATCAAAGACCTTTTCTAATTTTATAGTGGAAAAAATATTATATTTGAAGATTTGGTGTGCTGCTTTTTACAGTTAGTAAGAAGTATGTATTCCCCTACCTTGTTCTCCTACCTTTGAGCATAAAATTTTAACCTGTGCTCCTTGCTAGACAATCACAGGCCTTTCTCCTTCTCCTTTCCGTAGAGTTTTTGATCATCTGTGTTTATTTAATGGTCTTACTATGCTTGTGTATTTTAATTTAGGTCTTCTCAAATAGACTTTGAAAACAGGTAGTTTAAGTAAACAACAAATAGTCTCCCATCCAAGTACTAACCAGGCCCGACCCTTGGAAACCATCATTCTCAGCAAACTGACAGAAGAGCAGAAGATCAAACACCGCATGTTCTCACTCATGGGCGGGTGTTGAACCATGAGAACACATGGACACAGGGAGGGGAGCACTACACACTGGGGTCAGTTGAGGGGAAATAGTGGAGGGACGGTGGGAGGTGGGGAGCTGGGGAGAGATAGTAAGGGGAGAGATGCCAGATATAGGTGATGGGGAGGAAGGCAGCAAATCACACTGCCACGTGTGTACCTATGCAACGATCTTGCATGTTCTTCACAAGTACCCCAAAACCTAAAATGCAATAAAATAAATAAATGGGAAAAAAAGAAAAAACAAATAGTTTGTGCATTATAGCATGCTTCTCTTTTGTCTCCAGGAGTTGATTGTTTTGTAAGGTCAGGCTCACATAAGACACAGGAACAGAGAATATGTTTGCAAATCCTACCTCTGTGATAGGGATACCGACATACTAAATTTAGATAGAAAGTGCCAGAATATAAAATGAGGCTTTCTTTCCCAAAATTTTCGCTCGTTATATGGGGAGGTGTCTAATGTATGTTACAGTCCTTGTGTAACCTCTCACATTTAAAAATGTTCTTCTAACACTCCGCTTTGATCCAAAAATACTAACTAGATGAGATATCAACATGAAATGAACTCAATGAATGCTAGTTTTGGTAAAATTCACTGATAAAAGAAAAAAAAAGCAAAGAAATTTATCATGGATTTGGTCATTTTACTTGGGGCTAAGTTTCCTGCAGTTTTTACTTACTTCATACAAATGTAGAATAACAGAATAAATTGTAAAAAAGAAATTCCTTTTATTTTGGGAGTGGATAATTTTTTCTTGGGATAAAATATTCAGAGGAGACACCATCCTATGGGGATTCCAAAATGGACACTGAGACCTCAGAGGGCTTAGAAATTTGCTCTAAGGTAGATGTTTTAGATGCATGTGAAGCATTGAAACAAAATTTTTAATGAAATATAAGGGCAAAAAAGGTAATATTTCTCAACTGATATTGCTATTGATATAATTTTTAACTTTGCAGGTATGATCCAGTTAAGAAATTAAAGCTATAAGTAGACATTTGACTGTTTTACCTAGATTCTTATAAATTTACATAATGAAGTTAGGGGACAGAAAAAATACAGATATTTCTTAAACTTCTATATATTTTCTCTGGAAAATGAAAAATCACCTTTTATTCAGGCAGATTATGTTCGAGATAATACATAAACATTCTAATTACTTTTAGAAGCAAGTACAATTAGTCATTTAGAAATTGAAAGCATTTTACAAATAGTGATATTTGTTCTGAAGTGAGCTGTTGAATAGATGGGGATTGATACATTTATCTGTATTCCCGAGTTTATAAAGACCTCTCATGGGTAGTAACTTGAATTCTGGAAGAGAAATTAATATTTCTATCACCTACCAAGTGTCAGGCATTCTGGTAGGTAATTCCATATTTAATTTCATTTAATTTTTAAAACATTCATTTGAGATAAATAATCTCTATTATCTTTATTGTACAGATCAACTGGAAATCAGAAGTTTCAACTTTGCTCTGTTATTGAAAAATATTAAGGACATTTGAAAATAATGTTTATGAAGTAATGTGAAGGTGAAAAAGCCAAATCTATTATTGTGTATTTACTATGATTCCAACTTTCTAAAATAAACAAAAAACATAGAAAAATGTTGAAATAAAAGTGTAACAAAATGATAATGTGATGAGGGTAAACTTAAAATTGTAATTTTTTGTTTATTTTTGTATGTTTTCCAATTTTTCTATAATGAATGAATCGGTATTTTTATAATTTGAATAATTGGTGAATCAAAGTACACTTCCTAAAGGACAATTACATAGAAAGTGGTAGACCCACGAGTCATTGAGAAAGAAAGCCTATACTTTTTCCTGCACCACACTCTCCTGAAAAATCACTTCTCAAAAAATTACAAATTATGAATTTGATTGCTATAATTCATATTAAGTCATTTGGATAAAAGGGAATCGGAAGGTCACTTTTTAACTTATAAGTTCATTTTACCATATGATCTCAACCACTAAGGAAACAAAAATATATAATTGTTTTCACTTTTTTCAATGCTTTATCAACTTTGTGAAAATTCTCTGAAAACTTTCATTTCAGTGGATCTAATAGACTAAGAGTATCTTTGTAAGATGCTTTCTCTCATCCAAGCAAAATTGCATCTTTAAGCTTAAGCTAACAAATAATAAATTAACTTATTGAACTGACTTAAAAAAACAATAAAAGCAGCTTATGTCACTTTTGAATATGGCCACACTGTTAAATATTTTGACACTTGATATTAATCATCCTTTGGTCAAATTATCAAATATTTCATATTTCAGTGACCAAATAATGAGGATAGCTGATTTCTTTTTACTCTTTTCCACTGGTTATTTTTAGAATTGAAGAAATAAAATCTCTAAACTAAACTCGTTTACAAAACTTTCAAAGAGAGATAACAAAGATCTCCCTCCTTTAGAGACCCACAGTTGGTCGAAGATTCTTAGAAATGCCTCCCATGCTATAGCAGGAAAAGGTCTGACTCCTAAGGCATGATCCAAGTCACCTGACCTCTCTGGAGATTTCACCATGATTAGTGACCAAACCAGGAGGGGATCCTAGAATTCCGAGCCAGGTCCTGCATGCCTACCTCCTGTCCTTCTTTACATTGCAAAATTTAAAGAAAGCCTACCTGTAACGATGAGCTTTGTTCCGGGACCAAACATCTTGAATTTTTTACCAGACTCTTGCCCACCACCTGAGAAGCCTTTATAAGAAACTCCCTTTGTGTTTGTTTTAAAATTGTGCCAACATTTTTTTTCAGTATTTGCATAAATACATAAAAATTGGCCCTGCTGACATTAAGCCAAGACAAAGCTCAAACAAAATCGCAATAGACCTGAATGTAATTAGGAGTTTAAGAACCGACCTTACCCTATCCTGCACACTTTAGGTTATGTACATTGTCTCCTTGTGTCATATACATTGGCAAATCTGATTTTACCTTTTCTCGTGATTTTGCCTGAATCTTCTAAATCTTCCCTAAAGAGTTTTCATGTATGCACTTTGTTTTAAGTGTAATTTAGAGTTAGTATTTTCCTAATTTTCAAAGAGAAACAGTAATAGGATACTTTTATGTTTGACAATTATTTAATAAGTAGATAAGTCGATATGATTTATAAGTATTTTGTGATTCGTATGGATGGGTATCTAGATTGATTCTAAAGTAACTTCTTTTTGGCCGGGTGCAGTGGCTCATGCTTGTAATCCTAGCACTTTGGGAGGCTGAGGTGGGGGCAGATCACTTGAGGTGGGGAGTTCAAAACCAGCCTGGTCAATGTGGCAAAACTTCGTCTCTACTATAAATACAAAAGAATTAGCCAGGCATGGTGGCAGGCGCCTGTAATTCCAGCTACTTAGGAGGCTGAAGCAAGAGAATTGCTTGAACCCGGGAAGTGGAGGTTGCAGTGAGCAGAGATCATGCCACTGCACTCCAGCCTGTGTGACAGAGTGAGACTCCGTCTCAAAAAATAAATAAATAAATAAAAATAAATAAACTTATTTTTAGAATCCAGTTCTCACTGATAGAATACTAGAAGAGTTGTTACAAAATATGAATTCTTAATGATGATTCATCGCTGAAAGACTACTCCTTTTGACTTGAAAATACCCTTACAGTTTCCAGATCATTGAATTAAATCCTGTGCCACTCACCAGAGAGGCAGCTCCGAGTTATGCAACTTATTACTTCAATATAGCATAGCTGCAATAGCTCCTTTATTAGTTTCAACATATCTAGCAAATTTGATGCCAATACAGAAAGACAACTGAGTGGAATGATGTCAAAATGACTCATTCTATAGAAATAACCTAAAAATTATATTTTGAGTATTTAATAAATGCACATTCCACACGACTTTTTGGAGGAGAGAGAATTTCAGTGCCATAATTAGAAGCAGAAGAATTGTATTCATGTACAAATAATAATACAAATTGTGACTTGTTACTACAAAAACAGCCAACTATAGTGTCCATTCATAGGGTCAAGCTACAGAAGAGAAAATATTCAAAGTATAAAAATATGACTTAATATTTCTATACATCATATAAGGGTCCAGATGGGACACTTTTGGAATAGACAGCCTTAGCTAGATCCTAAACTGCCACAGTGACTAGTCATGTGACTTTAAGAAAATAAACTGATCTTCTCCAGGGCTCGGTTTCCTCATCTGTGAAATGGAAATAAGAGGATCTCCTGTATAGGCCTGATGAGGAATGAGATAACGCACTGAAACTATTTAGCGTGGTGTCTACAAACTTTACTCTCTCTCAATAAACTTTACTAATATTAATTTTCTCCTTAAGGGGACAATATCGGGTCATTTTACCAAATTATTCCACCAAACACAATACATAGATCTCATAAGCAATAACTGCTACACAAATTAAGAAAGAAAACGAGCTCATGAACCCAAGACCTTTGCTTCTCTGGCAGCCACAGGCCAAAGAACATGGGCAGGGTCCAGCCAAGCCACAATCTAGAATACTTATCTGCCAGACTGGCAGCTTTTGAATGTTGAGACTGCATCTTGTTTGCCTTTTTATCTCTAACATCCAGAACAATTCAATTAATATTTGCTGAGAGGATGAATGAACAAATGAAGATGTAAAATCATGAAGACCCTTTTCATTGACCATGGAGCTGAAACGGCTGTTTGAACTTACAAATTCTATTAAACTGGGCCATTTCCAGGTGATATTGCAAGAGTTCCAATAGTATAAATGTTGAGTGACCTCAGCCTCCTTCAAAGAAGCAAGAGCAGTAACAAACGGGGTGTATTGACCTTCTATGGTAATTTACTATAAGAATTAATTTTTTCTTCACTGTTTCTCAGGATGAGATAAAAATCAATAATATGGGTTTGGCAGGCTACCAGAAGAAGGGAGCACTATGTTATATCTCAAAATACAGAGAAGGAGTAATTAATAAAATACCATTTTTATGTCTTTCACTTAAAAGACCTACAAAAAAGTGTCCTTGGACCAAGGACTTACACCAATGGTGTACAGACATGGTTCTGAAAACATTTTAATTTCTAACCAGAGTCTATGGGGTGTGTGTGTGTGTGTGTGTGTGTGTGTGTGTATTCTAAAAGTCAAATTTCAATCTGCTTACAGGCAGGGAAGGGAAGATAACATGTACAAATTGTTTTGTTTGCATATTCACCTAGCCGGCAAAATTGCTGTCTGTATACTGAGGCCAGGAATGTGAAAGATTCAGATAAGGTTGATCATTTTCTTCTATAAAGCATCTATCAGCTTTTCATTACGGGGATAAAAGCAAAAAAAAAGTTACTTACCAGGTGGAGTTACTATGAGCTTAGTCCCCTCTGCAAATTTCTTGATCCAACCACTGCTGTCACACTGGTCTAAGCTTCTACAAAAATCTCAACCTTCTGATCTTCATGACACGACTAGCAATCCAACAACTTTGAAGTAGCAATTTGATCTTCTGGCTTTTTTGGAAGTCCTTGAATATAGGTATTGTGACATCTGATAGTTTGTTATTTTCCCTGATAAATTACCTGTTTTCTCTTAAGGCAGTAATTTTTGAAAAGCACCAACAGAAAAGGGAAATGGAAAAAAAAAAAAAAGAAAAAAAAAGCAAGAAGAGAAAACAGCAGGCTCAATGGGTCAACCCACTATTTTTCTAAATTACCAGGAAGAGTATTCAGAGAATTGTCTTTTTTTTCTTTTAATTTCCAGGTGCTGAATTTGTCGAAATTGCTTTGAGATTACATCAAAGGAAAAGCTCTACTGTTCTCACAAACACCAGGGCCTCTCTGTTAGCAATTTGGGAAGATAGTTCTGAAAGGAGGAATCTCTTTAGTAACTGAAAATGCAAATGTGTCAATGTAGACATACTTGAGAAATTTAAACAAAGGTCTCCACTTTCAAAAAGCCTGTTCTACCGTTCGGCAACGTGATGCTTTTACCAAGCAATGCCAAATAAGAAAATGTGTTCTGCAATGACTATTATTTTTCCTGGAATAGCAGAAGAAATTTGTAGAATTCTATCTCCCATGAAATAATAGATTCTTTATTTAAACCATGCCATGACCCCCCCCCCCAAAAAAAATCCAGTTATCTGATATGTTGAAAAATCTGCAATCTTAAGCCAGCGTCTGCTGTGTGATCTCCTGAGTACAGATGAGGTGTTCAGTTGTAAGGACTGAGGAGGACAGGCTGTGCGTGACAACCTCTATGTCCACTCAAGATCCACCCTTGCTCCAGCCGAAGTACCATGGGTCCTCATTCAGGAAGGCATGAATGAGGTCACAGAGGGCACCTATCCATACATGGCAGCTCACAGCTCCCAATCCAATGGAGAGGACAACAGCGCTGAGTGAAAATTATGTTTGGAAAGTGTTTCTTTTTAATAGAAAATTCAAAATTATTACTTGGAGCTGCCGATTACCCTTTACACCTGTCACAGATGGAGTGATGCCCATTCAATCACTTTTTGTCCTCTGGTCTTCCTTATTCCAGGACCATGAGGGGAAGCATCAGATGTTTTAGAAGCTGTCAATATTTCAAGAGCCATGAAGGATTTAGGTAATAAAATGTAAAAAAGTATGAATTGTAAACTCTTTTATTAAATTTACAAAAAAATACAACGATGTGAAGAACACGGTATTCAGTTTTCCTAAAGGCATACGATAAAACCTAAATAAATGAAGAAACATACATTGATGGATCAAAACCTCCTATCATAAAGAGGCTAATACATCTTAAATTCATGTATAAATTTCCACCAATTTCAGTGAGAATTACTACGACACGTTGTTGTTGCTCTAGGGTGTAAGGTTTAATGCTGGGCTAGATAAGTTCATTTTAAATTGTGTAGGGATGAATAAATATGAAATGATAGAAAAAGAATTTTCTGAAAAATTGTTCAGCAAATAGACATTTGGCATAGCAGATCTTAATACTTATCACAAAGCTACTGAGATAATAAGATAATGATGTAAGAATAATGAGACAGACAAATAAAACAGAAATTCTCCAGAAAATGTGCCAAGTATGTGTGGCTATTTGAAACACACTGTAACATTTTTAAATTCTAAGAAGATGATGGATTGTTTAGAAATGAACATTAGGAAAATAATTATTTGGGATAATAAAAATATCACTCTACCTCACCTCATATAACATAAGGCCTAAATAGATTAAAATTACAAAGCCAGAAGGAACATGTAGGAGACTTCGGTAAAGGGGCATGGGATGGATATAGGGTAGGAGAACCTTAACACATTAATTTTTGAAAAGTAAGAATGTGGAAAATTTTCTGTTTTTATAGTATTTTCAAATAAATGTTTTTGAAAGAAGGATAGATAATGAAGACCTGCTAAAAGATTTAGGGAGAAAAGTGACATGATCACATTTGCACTTTGCGAAGATAAATGTCGAGCAGAAAGGAAGGGGCACTGACCAGCACAGCAATTAAGGTGAAGCAGGTGGTTGTATAGGTGGTCGCCAGAAGCCAATAAGAGGCAAGCAAGGACCTGCGTTGCTGCAGTGATGGTGGAGATGGACAGAGTGGCTGGAGCAATAAACATTAACAGGTTTATTTGAGTTTTTAAAATATTCTTATGAAATAAATTATTATCTCAGGAAGTTGGGAATGAAGAAAAAAAGACACTTTAAAATGGGAAAACCCAGGTTCAGATTCCAGTTCTTCCATTC